CAGCAAGATACGTCGTCGCCGTGTTCAACGCAATGTCCAACAAAAAGATATCACTAAATAATTTTAATTTTATTATTGACGTAATTTTATCTATGAGTGGAAAAATAAAAATAATTTTCGCACAAATTTTTTAATTTTCTAATGAATTCATATAATTGTTTTTGATATAAAACCGATGAAACCTAATTAAGTAAAATTCACAAATTCGTAAAAAGGAAAAGTAAAAATGGAAAAATTTATTGACAGTTATTATACATATAATTGCTTTTCTATATTTCAAAAAGTAGCATTTATAGATTCACATATAGTTTGCTATAAATAGAATTATGAAACAATTGCATTAAATGTGATATTTGTAAAACTAGATCACCGATTTATAAATAAGTAAACAACTTTCTAAAGATTATTGTTATGTGGGAATACGGAGGATTTAAATTATACAGTTAAGACGAGAAAAAGTTTTTAATTATAAAAGTTTTTCTTTCTTAATTTACTATTATAACGCTATTCTAATTTAATAGCATATAAATATAAAATATAAAATTGCGCATATAAATTGGCCATGACTTTGCCGTTTTGTAAACATTTATATTTTGAGCTGTGTATATAAATGCGCTACTATATGTGCAAAACATCTCTGATCACAGAATGCAGGCTCAGTTCTACGCCAAAAAAGCTTGGATATGGGAAATATTGACGCATATATTTTGGCAGAGTTTCAAGTGATGCATTTCGGAAAATCAATTCTGCGGCGGTTCCCCTGTGGATTTGTTTGCTACAGATAGAGGTGGTCTGTCTGGCCAATAAAATCCTAACGAAGAGATTGAATTCCACAATTTGCAATATTACATAGCGTTGGATAAATTTGGATAATATTTCTTTGAAAATTTATATGGCGTATTTTCACACTAAATTCTTACATATCTACCGATGCTTTCTTTTTTATTAATTTTTAAATTTAAAAACCAGTTGATATAAAATAATTATGAATAAATAGTTAATGCTGTGAAATTGATTCATGTTTGTACAATAAAATTTTCGACGTATGTTTTACATCAAGAAATAGCTATAGGTATCTGTTGTAATGTGCATTTCCGTTCTAATTATTTTCAATGATAAATACACGGCTTTTTTTATCGATTGCGTAATGTATCATGCGTCAATGTTTTCTCTTAGATCCAAGGACAACGACTTTGGAAACATGGTCGACCGACAGCTCGATCGAAGCGAGTCAATTCCGCCATTATGAGTCGAACAATTTGACGTAATAAAGAAAATGGCAGCACATGCGGCTATCAGGGTCGACAGACAGTCCTTATCCACTCACAATGATATTACGTAAAATGGCCGGACGATTAGAGAAAAATGCCGTCTGTGCCTTTGAATCGATGTGAATGCTCGCCAGATAGTGACGTTTCTGTAATAAAGAACCCACTTCTTCTCACCCGACTAGCGTTTGCATTCAATGCAACCAACTTATATTTAATGCAGTCTTATTGATTTACTTGATAAAATTTCATAAGGAAATCTTTAGATAAATTATCAAATTGGCAGAAATATTTTCTTCTATTAACAAATTATTAAAAACACGAATAATTTTTTTATTTTAGTTTCAGTGTTTATATTTTGTAAAACTATTACATATAATTATAACTATAAAATTATGTTTTTAAATAGTAAGATAATTTTTTGCTGGAAATAGAATACTTTTTAAAGAAATTATTATTTCGTCGATTTAGTGTTGCAAACTGGGGGTGACTAATCTTTCACAATTTACTACAGATATAATGTACATGCGTCGCGTTTTAAACTTGTCGCTTAAACGCTTTTAATGAGTTCATTGTTGTGGCGACATCGATGCAAAACGGTACAATGAGAGAAAATGTTACGCATTTAATACTGAGACCACAACGATGCTGCCTAAACGCTGCCGGTCTATTGTTACTGTAATCATGCATCCTTGTGAATTAATACAATTGTTTTAATCATTTTTAATACGAACTAACTGTCCAAAACAATCATTCTTAATGTCAAAGAAGTTACTTAGAAAAATATTTACAGAAAATATTTGACATATATAAAATACATATGATCAAATATTTAATAGTATTGTATAAGTAACAAAAAATTTCATAAATTTTTTATTACACATACAGGGTGTATAAAAAAGATGGAAACCCCAGAATATCTCGAAAAATATAAGTTTTATAAAAAAATGTTTCAGATAAAAGTTGTAGGGTTTTAAAAGATTTATTTACTGATCTTATCAGTTTGATCTTGGGTGCAGGCGCTTCGGAGATTTGAAGGTTATCTTTATTTTTTTAAATTTAACCACTCTAATTTTTTTTATATAAATCGATTTCTCGCAATATTCGGCGTAAAAAGTTATAAGAGTAGGATGACCAAAAATTGAATAGTTTACGAGATATTTTAATTTGACATAATTTTACATAAACTATGAAATATCTCGTTAAATATACATTTTTCAATTATCTTACCTCAACAATTTTTTATGCACAAAATAATGAGAGGAATTGATTGGTGTAAAAAAAGCATATAGTTGTATTGAAGAAACAATATGTAGCTGAAATGATGTTATATCATATTTGTTCTTTTAAATTTTTTCAAAATTTCAATATGATCATTTAGAGAGAAGGAGACAAGAACTATATAATATAAGGTTAAATTTTTTATCTGTAAATTTTTTGTGCTATAACCCGAAACATTTATGTACATGATCGCGATTGTGGCAGCTATATGTGAGCATAAGTAAGTAGAAGAGAAAATGTAAGAAGTTTTCATGGCGCATAAAACGTATTGGTAATGCAGAGACACGATCCGATCCATGTAGTTCGACTTAACTAGACTGGATGTGAGTGGCTCTCGTACTTCGTACTGACTCGCCAGCTCGCGCCGTGCGTAAACTGACCAGAGCGAGGCGTGGGAACTAGAGAACTCCGTTCGAGTGCCTTTCTCTTCTCCCTGCTCGCTCGCGCTTACCGCGTATGTCCGATAAACAGCGAATAGTTTCACTATTTCGATTTCCGCGGATGTAATAGTAGATATTGCGTAAACTGCCATTCCGCCAGTTACACACGAATTAAGCACGACTCGTGCTGCGTGAATATACGGGATAATAAGCGGCGATAACGCCAGCGCGCCACAAACTTCGCTCTTACCCACCTGCACCGTACGCGGTCAGGACGCATTTTTTCTTCCCTCTAATTGGACAGCAGAAAAAGGAACCGTTACCACATTTGCGATTTATGTTCCATTTCCTACCCGGCAGGAAATTATGGTCCAATTAATGAGGGAGGTGCACCGTTGCTACGCGCTAGCGGCGTCGTTTGTTAGCCACAACTATATGCGCTTCGTTATTTAACGCGCTTAATGATTGCATCGACTTTATTAATTTATATTCGTGACACGTCCATACCACAAATTCGGAAAACTGTAAATATTACGCAATTAATCGCAAACTTCCCAATACACACAAATATATTGAATCTACCAAAATTCCTATTAATGCAACAAGATTCCGGTAGATTCAACCAGAATCTGTCTGTTTCATCGAAAAACGAACAGACGGTTTGTTAAATCAAACAGAACATTTCTCTCAGTGTAACACTTTTATTTGGGCAAAAGTACGAATCGTCGTAGTACGATTTCCAGAAAAAATTATGTTAGAACGGAGAAATTTACATATTTTTTGTAGATAAATTATTTTTTTATTTGTTTTGAGCGCCCCCTTTATAAATATTTGAAACGATTTGAAGCTGAAAATGTTTACATCCGCATACTTTCTAACGGTGCACCACTCGAAGGTGTTTCGCGCTTTCATAATCGCGGATCGTGGATGAATCACGGCGCTTCACAGTCTCGCGGTCCGTCACGATTTATGAATCATCGTCATGAGGCCCGATGATGACGGACGATGGGCAACCTGCCGGTCGCCGCTCGTGGAGTGAAGGGAGATACGGGAGAAGGAGGAGCGGAATGCAAATGCGCTCCGCTTGATCAAAGATATAAGGTGTTTTGATGACCGCGAGTCATATAGCTCGTGTCACGGCGCGCCTCGCCTCTACAAAGTGTACGAGTACACAACGAAACGCCTTTGATTTGCATCTTGATGGAATTGCTCATAGACGAGGCCCAGATACCGTAGACAACGTAGGCGTGGAGACACGATTTATTTCTCCAGGAAATCCTGCATTTTTGATTAGTCTTGTCGATCTCCTGCCGCGCGCTAAATATGTATTTAAAGAAAATCAAATGTGGGAATAATATATTTATTTATTTTTATTCGATAAGAATGATTATAAGTTTTATAGTTTCGTATTGCAAAAGATAATTTTGTTATGTAAAAAAAGTTTAATAGTTTTTTCTGAATCTTTACGTTCTACGAAAGCTGGCTGCAGACCGATTTCGCTCAGCAACCTGACCAAAGATGACCGACAAGAGAGTGGAATAAAAGCATCAGACAATTGAATAAGAACAAACAATTCCTATAATATTCTACCTTTAAATAATAAAATGACACATTCTTTTATGATGAATTTATTTATATTATGATGAATGCATCATGTATCACATAAACATTTCACGAACACATGCAATTTTAAAATTTAAACTGATATATTTCACCGACAGTTAATGTATTACATTCGTAGATTTTTACAGAAGTTATAATAAGAAATTCACATTATACAAAGTACAAAAAATAACGAAAATATATAAAAAAATATAAACATACGTAAAAATTTAGAAAAAATAATATAAAAATTAAATATTTGAAATTAAATTGTAGTATAAATTGTAGTTTAAATTGTCGGTATTTTTCTATTTACAGAGTCGATAATCATTTCATTAAATCGTTTCAGTAAATAAAATTTATAATTATAGTTAATAAACTGAAAAATGTAATTTTGTTTTGTATAAAACATAGACATATAATCATAATTTTATAAACATGAAGCAAATAATTATACGTCAGATCTATATTACGCTACTTTTCTTGAATATACGTGTATCTTTTAGTAAATTAAAATCGTCAAAATCAAGACTGCCATTATTGCTGATTGGTACTTGGACGCCGTTATCATCATACTCATTTCTATCATGTCACCTTCTGGGGGAGGATGAATCTATATAAACAATTATAACATTCACATGAGAAAAGAAATTGTCTAGTTTTGCTGTGATCATTATATTGTATATTTTTAATAAATTAAATTTAAAAAAGGTAAAAAATTAATTATAAATACTAATATTAACAATAATATCATTAAAACTTATACCATTTTTTTCAGTTTAGTTGGCTTGTCATAGACATTGTATCCATTTCAAGTGATGAAACACATTCTGACGAATCAACTGGGTCATGTATTTCTTGCGTATTTTTCAATTTGTCCGAATGTGTCTCCTTTATATGAGAATCCAGACATTCCAGAATAGAAAGAGTTAAGTTGTCGTGACAAATATTACACTCCACCACAAAATCATTTCTTTTTGACCAATATTTCTCTGTCCAACTTTGAAGTATATGATTGTTCTGTTGATCTTTAGAATGCGAATTCAAGTGATCTTCTACAAATTTAGATGTAGATAGAACTTTTGCATCACAAATAATACATTGTGAAGAAAATATGTTTGAATACTTGAAATACATCCATGGCCATTTTCTTAGTTTTCCCCCGTCTTCGTATTTCCAAATTTCTTTATGGAGTTTTGCTATATGACGTATAAAGTTTTCATTATCTGTATAATTATATTTCTTTTCACAAAATTTGCACTGTGCTTCAAAACCCATCAGATTTATATAATATTTCCATATATATTTTTCAGTTGCAATATTTAGTGACATAAAAGTTATGTTGGTTTCAAGTGATGAAACACGTTCTGACGAATCAACTGGGTCATGTATTTCTTGCATATTTTTCAATTTGTCCGAATGTTTGTTTCTTGTATGATAATCCAGACTTTTCTGAATAAAAAGAGATAACTTGACGTAACAAATATTACATTCTACCACAAAATCATTTCTTTGTGTCCAATATTTCCGTGTCCAATGTCGAAGTATATGATTCTTCCGTTGTTCTTTAGAATGCGAATTCAAGTGGTCTTCTAAATCTTTAGATTTAGATGTAGACAAATTGGCATTACAGATAATACATTGTGAAAATAATTCGTTTGAATACTTGAAATACATCCATGGCAATTTTTTTCGTTTTCTCCCTTCTTCGTATTTCCAAATTTCTTCATGAAGTTTTGTTATATGACGTTTAAAGCTTTTATGATCTATATAATTATATTCATCTTCACAAAACTTGCACTGTGCTTTAAAATTCATCAGATTTATATAATATTTCCATATATGTTTTTTAGTTGCAATATTTAGTGACATAAACGTTATGTTTGTTTCTAATGATGAAACACGTTCTGACGAATCAACTGGGTCATGTGTTTCTTGCATATTTTTCAATTTGTCCAAATGTTTGTTTCTTGTATGAAAATTCAGATTTTTCTCAATAGAAAGTTTTAACTTGACGTAACAAATATTACATTCTACCACAAAATCATTTCTTTGTGTCCAATATTTCCGTGTCCAATGTCGAAGTATATGATTCTTCCGTTGTTCTTTAGAATGCGAATTCAAGTGGTCTTCTAAATTTTTAGATTTAGATGTAGACAAATTGGCATTACAGATAATACATTGTGAAAATAATTTGTTTGAATACTTGAAATACATCCATGGCAATTTTTTTCGTTTTCTCCCTTCTTCGTATTTCCAAATTTCTTCATGAAGTTTTGTTATATGACGTTTAAAGTTTTTATGTTCTATATAATTATATTCATCTTCACAAAACTTGCACTGTGCTTTAAAATCCGTCAGATTTATATAATATTCCCATATATGGTTTTTAGTTACGAGTGACATTGTGTCCGTTTGAAGTGACTGGACGCGTGTAACTGAATACGATACAAGAACCTTTCTGTTGAAAAGTATAAAAGAGGACGAAAGAAGACGCATGATTTTCCATTTGAATGTAAATATTGATACGTCAGTCAAATCTAGCTAATAACAATTATCAAAACACGCGGTAACATCTCATGCCGAGTATGTACATATAGTAATAACATCTCAGCGAAAGAGACGTTACAGGATATACATGAATATACGATTTTGTGAGAAATAATGCACAAATAATATATTATTTATGTATATCAAATAAAACTACTTTCAAATTGTTATATCAAGAAGAACTCATATATATATATTTTTTCGAATTATTTAACTTACTTAAATGCAATTAATATGCTGATTGCAGAAATAAATAGATGTGATTGACTCAATAGATATGAGTGCATAAACAAATTATTATGTGTATGCATTTATTTTGATTTATTTTCGGATATGGCGTTATCATCGCCGATTTTTTTTTACAAAGTACCCCGAATTATTGGTTTACATTTTCATCATTCTATTTTTATTTCAATAATAATAATTTTTAATCAATAATAATATAATAATATAATAGTTTTTAATGTTTTAAACTTAATTTTAAATACTCGTATTTAAATGGAGAATATTGAATTATTTCAATATTTTCAATATTTAAATATTTTAAATATTTTTAATAATGTAGGATATATTGAGTGAAGATAAGGGTTTTGATAAATTTCAATAGATTTTGATAGAGAAATGGACTTCTCTTCTCTTGTAAAATAATTTGATTAAACTAGAGACACAAGCGCGCACTGTGCACGCTATTTAGCTTTTTAGTTACACCAGAACAATAAAGGCGCACGCTACGCGCGCGCACTTATTGTAATGATTTAATAATTATAAAATCTAAATATTTTAATTAAATTTTTTTAAATTTTGAATAACCATCGAAATAACCTTCGCTGTCGAACTATCAAACTGTCAGAATAATCGAGATAACCAATCAGATGCATTGAATAATCGATGCATTGAAAACAAAAACTGGATCAATTTATAAAGTTTTCAAAACGACACGTCGTTTAATCTATCTCTGAATTTGTTTCTTTATAATCAAGAGCAAAGAATATTTGTTTTATTTGTATAAATACACACAATTTGGCGACTCGAGAGTTGATTTTTATCCGAAGCTTACTCGCTTAGTTCTCGCCATGGTTGTATCATTTCTCGCTGTGATAATAATCGTATTTCCGCGGAAGTCATTATTCGCGTCAAATTAGTCCTTATTTCCTCATATCGTAGGTAACTTACTAACCAGGGGGTGGATCGCGATCCATAATTATCGCTGAGTAACAATAGAGGTCTTGGGCAACGCGAGATACGAATCAGAAGTGGAAGAGTAATGCGATTAATCTTGATGTAACGCGGCATAAATGGCATATGGAGGCGCGAGCTATTTCGACGATTGTCAAGACAGAGAAAAAGAGAGAAAGACCGCTCACATTACTTGGTGGGAATGCGCGTTTCAGTTAGCAACGTTCTGCCGGCAGATAATAAACGTAATGATGGCAGAAATGATGAAGGATGCTCTCGCATCGTGCAATTTTAGAATCGTTTACGTCGTAACAATGGAATGTTCACAACATCGCGATGCACCGCGCGGTATATCAGATCTCTCGTGAATCAAAATGAAATTAGTATTTCGTCTGGAAAACTTTAAAATCGCTCCGAGAAGAATCTCGCTGACGGAGCGCATTTTTCCGCCCGGCCGGATCAGTCGGTAATTACCGGGTGATCTCGGCGAGCCCCTTCCGCCCCTTTAATTAGAAAAATTAAACCAACTTTTTACACGCTCTCTTACCGAACGCTCGGTAGTTTAACCGCTTTTCCGCTCTCTCGGACGTCCTGCACACGCGCCTCGATGGATTATGACACCTTAGACGATCGTTCACCTCTCCTGCAATGTTCGTTGTAGCGTGTTAATAGACGCGAGGTGATTTATGGATGAAACGTGGTTTGGCGCGGAAACCAGGCGCGGTTAATCACGCGTGTTACGTCAACCGCCGTTCTATTATTAATACGAATGAAAAACCCGCGGAATTGTTTTTTGCCGGAAAACAATATATCCCTCTGCTATCGTAGCGAAATTTATGTGAACTGTCTTGATGCGCACAGCAGTGAAAAAAAGAAGGAAGATAAGTACGGAAACGGGTTCCTCGCGTGCATCGTATACGTGTGTCGGCCCGACCGGGCTCGCTTCTGTTTCCGAGCTACATAGTGGCTGATGCACTGCGGTCGCTACTATTTGATGTATATCGCAGCAAGTTGCGATCTCGACGGTTAGCAACTGGCTAATGTTGAACAACACGAAAGTACCATAAAAATAATCGTGCCAGCTGTAATGTGCAATCGTACAATTTAATCGAAAGCCTGTTGGTTTTTCTTTGACACAAGAATTCTCTCTATATAAAGTCTTTTTTTATAGTGTTAATTATACTTAATTTGGCAGAGTTTAAAAAATGTAATAAAAATGATTATATATTTATTTATTTCTTTCTTTTAAGTCTGGTGAAGACTTTATTCCTTTTACAATGAAAAGGAAATAGGGCTCTGGTAATTATTTGATAGATTTAGAGTTTGCCAAGCTTCGGTACTGCCCGAAAAATAAATTGCCTTCTGTTTGCCAGGAAATAAATATCAACATATTTCTCTTACACAAGTAAAAAGATTCTTACTGAAAATTTGATTCTGTGTATCATTATAAATGTTTCGTTTGGAATTTACAGCAATCAAACGACGGTTTCTCTTTCTATTTTTTGGTGTTGATGTTCCTTTGTCTGGTATCTTCTGGAATTTCAATTACTAGGCTACTCTCCAAGATGCTTGAAACTACAGCATGCTACCAGTTTAATTTCATGATATGCTTTAATGTGCGTAAATGTAAATTGAAACAAATATTATTTGGTTTATCACACAAAGCACTTAGTAAAATTTTCCTTTTTTATTCCATTTTGCTTATGCAACTAAAACCTCTTATTTTTTTTATACGATAAGTTGTAATAATTAAACATCATACTTTAATGTTATTAATTGTGATGAACTATTTCATATATTTAATTGAATTATTTAAAATGCATATAAAACTTAATATTAATGTCAATTGTGGACATTCTATAATTTTTGTTGACAAAAATAACAGTCTTGTTTTGCGAAAAAGAGATTTCTCGACTGGCAAACCGCATCGGTATACATTCGTTTCTTGTTCGTTTGTACCTCGTAGATTTTTATTTATTTTTTGCTAGCTGTCTCGCGGCATGTACGATGTGCATTCACGATTGAGCCTCGGAGGAAGCGAAGACGAAGTACGTGCATCCTTGTAAACGGCGCTGTCGAGACAAATAGAAAATCAATTCTACGGACGCTTACGTTCCGCGAATGAACGAGCTTATTTACGTTCTTCGCTTTTTAGGTAATCCGTTGCAACTGGTTTAAAGGAGTGAAATTACCGATGCGCCGATCGCAAAAGTCGGATTTTCCGTTAGTGATTTACGCGGGGAAACGAGCGCGAATAAGATTCAGTTGCTACCGTTTAACAGGTGACAGTAAAAGATTGCATCAGGAGTGCGGTCTAAATATCGAACGATTTAGTTACCGTCGTTAAACCAATGCGAGCTTTAAATCAGTCTGTGTTTTGAATCACAAGTGCTCTTTTGCAAAAAAGAAACTTGATATTATTGTATTTTTCAGACAAAAAATTGTTTGATAAAGTTATGAACATTGATAGTCGAATAGATATTTTACTGATAATAATTTGTTACGATTTGATAATTATTTAGTTTTAGTAAGAAATTTTTTTTTAAGAGATTGAAGAACAAAATTTCAATCTTGAATAGAAATTTCAGTGATTCTTCATTGGTTTTCTAACAAATCCTTATCCTAATTACAAAACTTCTAAAATGATATCAAGGTAAGCGATAGCTCGAAGCTATTGTGTAAATAAAAGAGTAGCAGTCGTGGCAGGAGCAACTTTGTGGGAACTCATGAAATTTTCGGAATTGTTATATTACGAGTGGTAGGTCAGCAGGCGAGAACTTGATGCTAAAATCGATTCGGAAACTGGGGCAGATTAAATATTTACCAAGTCGAACGAACAGTACGTAGTCGCGAATAGACGGGCGAAAATATAACGATCCGCGCGCGCTCTTATCGTCATTAATAATTGATCTAATTCTGTTAGAATGAAAAGGTCGTGAGCCACGAATAACGAATTTATACGCTCGATTGCTCAAATCGCCTGTTGTAATAGATAATTATTTGTAGTGAAATTATTGATTGCAGGATCCTCTGTTATGGGTGGATTTTTACTCTACAAAGTTCAAAAGTTCAAAAGAGATAAAATTTTTATGTTCAAGTTTTTATAATTTTTTAAGGATTTTATACATATTTTTCTTCTCTTGTCATATTAGATAAATATTGTTTATTCTATGCGAGAATTTATGTAAGTTTTTTAAGAATCCCAAATATATTTTTAAGAGAGTTTCGATATTTGACTTTATTCCACTAATCATGTGGTGCGATTCTTCTAGTCGAACAAACGACTCAACGTAAACTCAATGTGATCTCATTGATCCAATTAACTCGACATTACGTACCTCACGAAACGTAATTGCATTCTAATTACTAGCATTCTAATTCCCTGTGCGTTTTTACTACTTGTAATTCGCGTTGCGGGCGCACATTCGAACCGTCTCCATGTCATGGAAGTAATATTGTCGCCATTACGCTAATGGGCTATGTTGCTCTGTGACTACATTGTTGTCTAATAAGAATTATTTCGCGCGCAACCAATTATAACGACGCAAAGCTGTGCGAAAAACAAACCGTATGAACGCCTCGTTAATTATCGCACTGCGTCTCTTTAAGCTGTTTCGTAGCTTACAATATCCAACGTTACCGATAGTCGTAGTATTCTTTTTACTTGAAAAACCAG